TCAGGAGTGTCTGACTAACACTACTGAAGTGATGTGCACTCATGTTAACATATCCAACAATATAGCACTGGCTTTTACAATGTGAAATGTCTTGGCTTTGTACTAGTAGACCAGTATTTTATAAAATAGAGTCACATTTCGGTTATAATACCTTATATAGGTATATACATTATTACTATATACAAATCAGTTCTTAAATTTCAGTTATTTTTCTTAAAACATAGAACAGTATATAAAGAAGTATAGAAAACAATTATTTCTTCTTGTTACAAACTTTGTACTCATTTGCTGCTTGCCGTAATTTGTTAAGCCTTATCAAATTTTGCAAGTGAATGATGTAAAAGAAAATATTTTTTTAGGCTTTATACATTTTGAAATAACAAATTATCATAAATTACTGTACCAATACCATAAAATTCCACTATAATCTATCAGGCTTAGTAATTACCCTTTATTTGAGTCTAAAAAAATTATTATTTGAGCTCCATAATGTCTTACCTTATTGGTTGGAATCTACCATGAAAAGAAAGGGTTTTCCCACATAACATTTCACAGAGGCTGTGAAAATTACATGGGAGATATTCTGAGCTTTCAATTGGTTATACATACTTCATTGGACAAAGTAGGTGTATGTAAGCAAGTACAGAAGAGGTGAGCAGGGCCACCTCGGTTGATTCAATAAACATAATATCTCAGGAAATAGAAAAGATAGGAGGTTCTTATTTTATATTTTAGCTTGCCAATATCGTAATTTGAGTTTCTAATTTGTAAGAAACTATAGACTTTGTATGTGGACATCACAAACATCTAATTTGAACCAAAGCTGCATTCAACAAACCATATGACACACAAAAATTGATATTTAGGATTTTGTTTTTATTTTTAAAACAAGAAATTAACTAAAACATAATAGTGAAATTTGAATTATAATCTATAATTAGATACCACACTTATTGACATACATTAATAAAATAGTAGTTCAATAAAATTTTGAATGTAGGTCCATAGGAAGACCCATCAGACCCATCTCAGTAGGTTAAAAGAAAAAGTAACATCAACAATTCATTATTTTCTTGATTTTAAAAGTTAATGTTTTATAATGCTTTTATATCTTCTAAATCTGCCATAATTCACCATACCAGATAACACTATGCAATAGTATAATACTTTAAAGAATAGTTTAAATGCTCCACCTTAGTAAAACTTGGGCCTTCAGTTTTTAAAAACTATATAAACCAAAAAACAAGTATAAAATTTTATTTCATGGTGCAGCATGTGGTTTACCAAATGCAAAAAATATCTTTAAGTAACAAGAAACGTCACATTGCAGTGTTATCTTAAATGCTTTTAAACTTTTTCCATATAGTTCAACAATTACCTCACCAAATACAGAACCACTTCGTGACAAGAAATTCTGTATTGGATTCCTTTTTATCACTGCATTAAGGTAAACCTTTGCTAAAATTTCGTCAAAGGGCTCTTTTATTTTTGCAGTTAAGGTTTTTGAAAATGTAACTTGAAGCATGAAATGAGCTTCAACTTTTACTCAACAATAGAGTTTTTAACAAATGCAAAACCATTCTGTAAAAACAAACTTTGTATTCCCTTGTTATCTCTTGTTTTGACTTTTTTGTTAGTTAGCTCCTGACACCAGTTATAGCAAACAACTTTACAGAACTAATTTGGATTTTCAAAAACTGAACAATAACTATAAAACAAGCTTTAAATTTTACCTAATCTTGTGGAGTTTGATTTACCAAACAGAACATGAAACCATTTGGCAAAAAGAAAATTTTCAGTGATTTATCATGTTGCAATCTACATTCTAAGCTATTACTAACTTAAATGAATTGATATAATGACTTATTAAATCTCATGAATTCCCCAGTCACTTCAGCTGAAAATGAAAGTCTTTAGTATGATGAAACTAGTGAAAACAAGACTTTGGTCGACTATGTGATACAACAGATTGGGCTACTTGTCAATAATGGCTTGCAAGTAAGAAATCATTGCCATTATCACTCCAAGTGATATTTTCAATAGATGGGTGAAAGCTAAGAAGAGATGTACAGCCATCTAGATGACTCTACACACAAGGTTTCATAGTTTTCATGAAACAAGTTTCAACAGCAATTCTCACATAATTAATGGAATAAAGTGAAGGAAAAAGGTTAGAAATGTAATTCAGAAAAGATTTGGTATACATTTCAACTTGTAGATGCAAGTCTTTGATTATAATGTTCATTGTTTTTGTTGTATATTGTTATTTTTTATGTAAAACCTTGAGAATTACAACTACACTTTATTTAAATTTTTCCATTGTCTATTATTTGATACAATCTGTGGTTTGCAACCAGCAAAGTGGCTGTGATACCACTGGCTTTATTAAGCACATAAATAAAACATTATAATAACTTTCCCAAATTCATCACCACTAGATTTTATATAAATATCATGAACCACGGTAATGGTTCATAAAAGGGATCACCCATTTATTCTCTTTATTATTTAATATTGTTTCACCAGCCTACAGCAAAAAATGGCTGCCAGTATTGTAAAAAATCCTGAGCAATATCACTAAACACATCATTGTACATTGTATAGGGTAGTTGTTAAGTCTATTTGACTACCTAGTAAATAACAGCTGTTCACACCCAATCATTTTAATGCAGTCTGTGGTTTACAATATGGAGTCTCATAATCTACTACAAGCATATGTATATATCTGCGTGCAATCTGTGGATGTAATTTAATGCTTATATTGCAGGAATGAAACCTGTACCATAACGATTATTAACTTATTATTGCAACTGTATTGAAAATGTGTATTATTTGTTTATGAATAGGATTCCTGCCCCTTCTGACACAACACTTCTGACAGGATCACAGTTGTTGTTTTTTGCCACTGCATGATCGATTTTGGCCATGTTACACAAATGTCTAGGCTGTCTCCCACAACAGAAATCTTTAAGCCATAGTTTAAAAGATAGCACCAAGCTCAGTTCTGAACAACAGATAGGCAATCATGGTGATAGCTGATGTTAAGTGTTGAATTATAGCCAGCACTGTGAGATTGCAATTTTTATAGATAATACAAATTTAGTAGCCATACTTGAAGCTGACAGTAAGGAGTGGCAAGAATTAAGCAAGCAGGAGATGGCAGAAATTTTTTCACAATATATTTTATTTAGAAAATATTTAGTTTCAAATCAAGTGTGCATCAGCAATGGCCCACCAGAGTTTAGGATTGTCACAGTGGAAGAGGATCCTAGAAATTTCAGAAATAATCAATTCATAATTGTTAACTACACATTTTCAACCTTGTAGAGCATGCAGAATGTCATCGTAAGCGGAAATCTGGCCAGCTGCAGCAAAATCATGACCAGCAGAGAAGAGGAAAATATAGCAACTATAAGAAATATTACAAATGCTTATTTGTATACATATCCTATTATGACACATTGTGTTATATTTGAATTGAATATATATGCATGCATCTATACAACTTTAAAAATTCATATGGCTATCTATATATATATACAGCTTTATAACTTAAAAAACTATAAAGCCTGCATGTATATATATAGATAGATATAAATACTAGTCAACATGCATTGCATATGCATGCATGTATAAAACACATGCAGTTACAAAATTCAGTACATGCACCATTCCAGTATAATTCAGTAGTCCTTCCAATCCAGTGTTCACAGACTTTCCATATAGCTAGGTATAAATACAGCAGATAAATATATTTTACAAGCATATACATAACATGTGGTATGTTGATCACCTTGCAATATAATGATCATGCATGCAGTACCATTATCAATTATAACATTGTGGCAATGATATCAGGAGCAATAGCCATCCAATCTGCAAGAAGTCAATCCAAAGTATGTCATTGTTTACCAAGATAGCATCAAACACCAACTATGTATTTCATTAACAAAACTGTTTCAAACAGGACAGTATTGCTATCATACAAACTTATGTCCAAGATGGACATTAAAAAACACTAAAGAAACAATACTATTAAAAATTGTTAATCTAAAAAGGTAGGAGATGCAGATCTTCAAAAAAATACAAGATCAGTAGCTTAAAGTTAAAATGCTATCGAAAAAAAAAGTAAAAAACAAACTTAAGGTTTGAGACATAGTTTGACATTATTTACTCAAGCTACAAATCCCTATTTGACTCTCCCAAATGTTACATCTTTCAGACATGGAGACAATATAGGGAGTTATAGCTTGAGGAAATAATATCAACACTATGTCTCAAACCTTAAGCCTGTTTATTTATTTTGCTATTGCATTTTCACTTTAAGTTACACATCTTATTCCCCCCTTTTTAAATGAACAATTTTTAATAATCCTATTAAATTAGATGTATCTAGCATTTTTTTTTCTGTAGTGATAAAAAAATGCATTTAATGCAATATAATTCAGGCAACACACTGCATATTTCTGTAAACAAAAAACAACAATAAAAAACACTACCTAAATACTTATATAGTAGTCTAAACATTATAAGTATGGTGCAAATATACATAGCAATTTTAGTTAAATGCAAGCTTCCCATTTTATTCACAATTGGTGGAGTAATTTTGCAGCCATATGAAAAGTTACATTCTACCCTTGAAAATACTTTTGCTGAATAGTTTTCTGCAGACACATTCTATATAGCATATGATCAGTGATTACAGATTGTAGGGGTGAGGTAGGGTAACTTTGTGATTAAGTAAAGCATTTATGATCACTGAAATTTGTTTGTTATTGAACATACTTGACTATTACCTTAGAAAACTATGCATCAGCTGTCCAGTTATAACATTTGGAGGGGGGGGGGGACTATTTATAAAAATTGGAATTATATGACACAATAACATATTTAAACAGGAGACCTGTAAACATCATAATCAAGCACAATCAGCAGTGCCAGTCATCACAGTAAGTATCTGAGATATTCTGTACTTTCATATTACCTAAAAAAAAACTTACATTTCCTACATAAACAGACCTAGCATCTACTTCTATCTTCTCTTCAAGTGACAAGCCCAATGACCCAGCTTGAAAAAAAAGCAAAAAACAATTGACCTTTTATTAATGTTAAAATAAATTACAAGGAAATTTCTGGAAGCACTTATAAAATTGTAAAATACGTATTTTTCAACAGATACATTACTTATTAAAATGCTTACCCATAACAGCAGATATGTGCACTTATCTCAGATACACAATTTAATATCATTTTTGTTATAAGCCATCTCAAAAAGAAATATGTTACAAACACTGATACAACTGTAGTAAAAGCAAACACACACAACATAAAGAAACCAAAACATAATTTTTTTTCACCTAACATGCCAGTGAACAATATAAAGATATAAGAGCATGTAAATCCCCAAAAGTACTGGTACAGCACACAATGAGAAAATATGGTTGTGTTTCAAAACTAGAGCCCATTTTAATAAGTGAAACCCCCCTTCAACAATCATCTCAGCCCTGACTCTTATTACTAAAACTTAACACAAAAATTTGGTAAACACCTACTGGAATAGACTGCCACTCCATTTGCAGAGCGGCTCAAGGTGTAGTGAGGTCCTCTAGGAGGAGTTCCAGAGCATTCCACTGGGGTTTATCTGAATTCAAACCAGCATACTGGGGGCTTTGTTAACTCAGATTTTGAATATTACTTGTTTTACACCATAGCTAGACTGAAGTGATGTTTAAAGACATATAGTACTATATCACAGAATTTCAATAATGTAAAGAGTGCAATATTGTAAAAAATATCACAGTGCAACAAACCATTCATAATTTATTTAACTATTACCAGTAGATTTAGTTCAAACCAGTTACCAAAGCCTCACACCATGATACTACCTCACCATTACTCAGAATTATAATGACACATTCAAAACATTCTCCAGTGTGTTGTCAATCACAGACACATCCATCCAAAGCAAATATCAAGCAGCAATTACCATTAATTTTGATGCTCAAGACACAATGATAGCTAACACTCTATATGCAATGTTGCGATGAGTGGCTATTGGGATAGAGCTAGTCCAGGAAATCTAACAAATTATTCGACAAATAGACAATTCACATTTGTGTAGAGAGTGGTCTTTTATTTCTTAGCACATTATTCACAGTGAACTTGAGTATGAACAACTCGGACGTTTTCGGGGACACCTATATTATCAATGCTACACATTAACACGTATTTCTTTAAGGGTCCATAAGCTCCTTTCCTCCTGGCATCTTGACTCCAACTATCTATTTCTAACAGTGCTAACTTATAAACTATTCATTGCAAATTCAGTAAGGATGGTGATGTACTGTTCCAATACTTTTGGTAATTTTGAATATTAAATACAAAGTGTATTGAAATAAAATAAATACAACACATAAACAAAATTAACACAATGTTTTTATATAGGGGTGGGGAGTAAAAATTTCATTAAAAAAATAGAAATATATATAACATAATACAAAATCAACATACTGGTTATGTACTAGCACATGTTAATGATATAAATAACCAAACATAAATTAGACGGAGAAAGAGAAAGGGCAAAAAATCATTGTGGCAAAAATAAAACAGCAATACAATATTTTTTTGTTGTTACACAAGCACACACTCAATATATTAATTTCAGATTGTGCAGTTTGTTTCAAAGTTTTGTAGTTTTAAATTCATACGATAAGAAAAAATGGGTTAACATGTAAATTTCCAATTGTTTTTGTATACAGACATACAATTTTTTATTTCTCATCGGCATATTAACTGTAAGATGATGACATGTGTATTTTTATATTTCCACATATATATATGTATCACTTATTATGATTCATCTCCTTAAACTTATTCCTGGTTTTATCATTGCCTATAAAAAACTGTATTCTAAGAAAGAACTTAACAATCAAGACAGGAATTTCGCCACTAAACCATGAACTCAAGTGTAATCTTCCAACATTCTTGGAGTATTAATATAACTTTATAGTCTCTTTTAATAAATAAACTTTTCTTTTATATAATCTTAAAAAATAATAACTGAATAATAACACAGAAGCTGAAGAACTTCTTATGATTTTTATTTCTGTTTAAAAAATAGTTTTGGTTATTAAAAGCGCACCACAGCTACAAGGATAATTATCTACTTACTGATGTACAGTATTCTTATACAAACATACTTGGTGGGCTCATGTTCATTTGTTTTTCCATTTCATTTTGCATCTGCTTTAACTTCTCTGCCTCTTCTTCCATTTCCCTGACTCTTGCCTTGATGGCTTCTAGTTCCTGAATTAAAGGCAAAATTATTTTATTGTATGAACTTTTTAGTTTTAGCTGACCTCCCACACCTCCCTTAGCCTGTTATCCTAAAAGTAAAACTAAGCCAAAGCTTTTAAAAAAGTTAGTAATAAAAAGTAAGCTTAGGTTACTATTTTCTTCAAGATGTGAAATTTGACATCAAATTTTTATTTCCTCTCTTGAAAAATTGTGCAGTATACACATTACACTAGGATGGAAAATCATTACAATTATTATTAATATAGTTCCTGTTTGAAACATCTACTGCAGCAACATATTCCTTGATGAGCTAGTGGCAAGACAAAATGCAGGGGATAACTTTCAGCCAAAACAGTTGATTTGGAGAAAAAATTAATTCTTAATACTGTCCTAATATTTAAGTTACGCAACTAGATAAAACTATATACAAACCAGAAAAGCATGATGTACTGTGATTTGATATATTTCTTTTTAGATGTATCAATCATTCTTTAGAGAAGTATAAAGAAAATACAATAAACTTATTAAAAGTTCTAGGACATGAAGTCTGTTTTCAATTTGACTAAGAAAAACAAAAACTTACCAATTGTCATGATGAGGCTGCTGTAAAGCCACTGTTGAAATGTTTCCATAATGTCTGAAGTGAACACCGACTACACTCTATACTTTATTCTTATAAGTTCTTGTAAGCATATGTACTATAGTAAACTCATAATGTATTTTAGGTCACTGCTTGAGTAATGCACAAGACTCAAACTACAGTAAGTATACAAGTTTCTACTAACTTTTGGTTGAAATTATTCTGTTTATGAATAAGTATATGAACATGAGGGGCTACACTTAGTTTAGTATAAATGATTTAGGTCTTTGAAAATATATATGAAGGGATACTGATTTGACTAGCTCTACTACTAGTGCAATCCTGGTACAGATTATTTTGAAATGTTATTTCAAGATGTCTGTTATGTAAGAATCATGTGCCAGATAGTGTAACATCTAACATTGAGGCTTAAGTGTTTCAGACCTCTTGCTTCATCACAAAAACAGCCAACTCAGGCACATAAGCTTTTTATTCATGTTAAGGATGTATTATGTTGAACGTATTTTAGTATTTCTTGAAATATCAAAGAAAATTAACATTGCAATGGATCTTCACACAAGTCTTATTATGGCATGTATAGAACTGATACACTTATCAGCCCTACTAATAGAGCTACCAATTGATTAACTATCCTTCTACAAAATAGATCTTTCACATGCTCTTGTAGGAAAGGTGTGGGATAAAACTTTAAAACAATAAATTTATTATGTGGATTAATGAACCACAAATACTACATAAATATTAACCACACACGTAGGTTCTATTATAATTTTTTAAATTACTGTGATACCTTAAGCTTGACTTATAGCAAAAACATACCAGAAAAAGCCTTTCAGAATATCTTTTAATAATTGTTTATAGATGGATAATTCTCCAACCTGCAAAAGTACATGTACTTTATACAGCTTTTAGTAGTGGTTTACTGAACAAAAGTTTTACTGAGTCTAGCACTTTTCTCCTAACCTTTTATTATATTCTTAAAATCTAATCTTCATGACACTGCTTTCTCTACATTGTTTTGAAAATAAAACTAATACACTAGTACTTTTTCACTATTAATAATTCAGTAAACAAACTGATTAGCATTGTTAACTTCCATAAAACATAAGTACTTGTATAAAATAAATAAGAACTCCAAAGTTTAAAAATGGAATTTTTTCCAACAAAACATGTAGTTTGAATTGCATATTTTGCATTTAACTTTATACAATAAATTATTGCACATTTTTAAATGTTAGAGTTATTATTTATTTTATGAAATCTATGCAAAAGAATGGTCATAGAATATATTGATATGTAATTGCATCATGCATTGTTGTTACTATGCTCAATATTAAGAAATTTACATTCCTTTACCATAAAAACTACTATTAAATGAGAAAAATACTTCTTTCATGCAATGTGTTCCAGAAAAAATCTTAAAAATCTTTATCAACAGAAATGTAAAAAAATTATACTTCATTAGCTATACTGATTTCCAGGTTGCTTTTTTAGTTTCACTCTAGGTAAATAGCTTGCTCTGATCGTAAGTTAACATTAATAACCATTACCATACTTAAACCCATTGTTTTTAAGAGCCAAAATGTTGTCTAATTACATTTGAAAAGGCCTACAAGTCTAAAACATAAGCATAAAAATCCACTATGGTATACTTACGGGGTCTTCTACACCATGTTCTTCACTTATATCCCCTAAAGCAAGACCTACATCAGCATTTTCTTGACTATCACCATTTTCATGTGATGTGATCCTTGCATTCAATCCAGTGTTATTTCCATGCTCAGCCATCTTGTTCTTTTATGTCACAGGAAATTGCTTTTATCCTAATGTAAAGCCTTGGCTTAACATCACACTGTTAACTAACACTTTACTATTTAGTTTAAATTTCAGTTCTCAAAATTTAATTATATAATTAATAAATAATGTCAACAATAAATGTCAATTTTTATTATATAGATTGACTCAATACGTTTAACAAGATTTATGTTTTAACTAATTCTAACTTTCAGAAAACATACACTTATATTAAAATTAGTTGGAAACTCTCTAACGTCATAATAAAAAAAAGTTGGCTAGGCATAATCTACTTTATACTTACTAACTTGCGGCTAAAAATAAATCAGCATACTAGGCCTAAAATAATTATTTTGTCATAATAATTAATACGTATACAATTTACAATATAAAATAGCACAAAAATCATGAAATTTTTAACAGAATGATGTCTGAAAATCGAAAAAAAAAAACAAGTTACTATTTAAGCCACTAAAATATGAGACTTTTTTTTACAATTAGTAATATTATCGACTTTCTTTGTCAATTCAATTCCATCTTACTACAGTTATCATTGGGCATAATACAGCGCCCCTAAAACTTTCAAACAAAGGAAAATTATCTATTTTGAGGAATTAAAACGAATGTTATTATCTGTATTATTGTGATGCAATATAAAAAACACTACTGTCAACTAAAAGCGTAGTTAAAATTGTAAAATATGTCGATAATATCAACTATCTAAAAAACCCAAGAAAATTAGACAATTAAATTAGAATTATTATTTAAATATTATGGTTTAAGCGCCGAATATGGTGGAGTATTAGAAACCAATAAGGCTTAAATTTGTGATAAAAATTACGTTCACTTGAGATGTTTGTTTGCTTTTTTTTAACTTTTTTTTATTGCGGATTCAAAATCTGAATTTGAATGGGCAGTGGATAAACCAGATTGTATTTGCAGTGCATAAATGAAGATGAATGTGGAAAAACATTTGCAAATAACTTGATTTTTATAACAAATTCTAAACCCATTATTATTAATTATTTGGCACTGTAATATTAAAAAGTTAAATATTTGGTTACCTAAGTTGGCTGTTCATATAATATTTTTAAAGCTATAGTGATTCTCCAATGAGAAGCAGTAAGTTTACTGAGGTGCAAGTGCATTGTGTAGTTTTGTGTTAAAAAGATACAACAAATTTATGGTGCTGACTGAGAAAATATGAATACTTGTTTATGCCTTCCCACGACGTAATAATTCATTTTTATTATTCTTCTTATTATTTTTTGCTACCTAAGAGGTCATATATGCATACATTAATTCTTAGATATGTTACTATTTTGTTGTAAATTTCTAGATTTTACATGATTAGGATTAAGGTATTGTTACGTCTCCGTTTGTTAATTGATTTTCCGTAACTTCGTTCCGACGAAATTTTAACGACACAAGTCTTTACTTAATAAAACTGGTTTATTCTTTCCGAATATAACTTTATCGATACACTCAACTTCAACAGTCGCTCTAAACAAACGCTATAACAATGAACGTCAATAATACTTCTGACTGCAGTTCAATTATTCACTCTCTATACACACATTACAATATCCTTCTCCTCTTATATATACCCGCTTACCCCATCTAGTAAATACTAGAGCATTCATGAAGAAACAAG